GCTCACCCACCCCCCCGCTCGCTCGCACACCCACCCACTCGCACACCCACCCACCCGCTCACCCACCCGCTCGCTCACCCACCCACCCACCCGCTCGCTCACCCACCCGCTCGCTCACCCACCCGCTCGCACTACCGCCCGCTCGCTCGCCCACCCGCTCGTTCGCTCACCCACCCACTCGCTCACCCACCCGCTCGCTCGCCCACCCGCTCGTTCGCTCACCCACCTACCCGCTCAACCACCACACTGTAGATTGCTTAATCACCACACTGCAGGTCAACCTCCCTTCTCTTCCCACCCCTTGCCCTCACAATGCTCCACTCTACAAATTCCCTCCCATCATCGTCGTCTTTCCCCCCAAGCTCTCAATAAAAAAAAACCCTCGCTCAATTCAAGGAACCTGTTAATAACTCTCATCTTCTTTTACAACTCCAGTGCTGTTTGTTGCTGGCTGCTTGGCATCTTCTGCTTTTGGGCCTCCTGTGATCCGCAACTGTGGAGACGATCGCGCGCGCTGTCTGATCGGTGCTCGTGTGTGTGTGTGTTTTGGGGTTTTATCTTTGGCAGGATTTGGAGGAGCTCTTGGAGATGCTTCACGACAAGGAAGTCCGTCTGCCATCGGTGAGTTTACACGCAAAGATAAAGATCCCCTGTATAGCCTGAACATACTGTTGGGGCAAGTGCTGTTAGCCAGCACCTAATGAAGGCCGCACCATTGAGTATCCCAGCAAAGGAGCCTGTACTGGCATGCCCGAAGGGATGGCCACACATGAGCTCTTGTGAGTTTGTGGTCTAGACAAGGCTGAGCAGGTTGTACGCGCAGCGTGTGGTGGCGGTGGTCGTGGCATGGCGCGCACGGCATGTGGATGGGGAGTCCTGGATCCCAGCTGTCTTAGCGGCACAGCTGTGCGTGGTGTGCTATTTATACTCTCACCCACCCTCTTAACTCAACCACCCATCCACCGAATTCACTAACTCGCGTCCACCCAGCCACTCTAACCTATGGGACTTGTAACCGTTTGAATAGCCTCAGGCCATCGTCTTAACACTTGATCGATTCCCCCCCCCCCCCACACCCGTGTTGCTCCCACGCCCCTTCACCCACCCCTGCCCCCCACACCCAGGGAATCCTGAGGAGAGGAGCTGGCGGTGGCGGTGGCACAGAGGGGACGGGCCGGCCCGGGCGGAGCGGCGAGGGTGACAGCGTGCGGGACTTGGCTATGGTGCGTCGCCACTCGGGGGGCATACATTTATGGGGTCCCTGCTGGGGTGCTGGGGTGCGTGGGTGTCTGATCCCCGCGGGTGTCTGTGCGAGTACACGGTTTCTCCTGAGAGTAAATGGGGGTATCCGTGGCGCCGATGGCATCACCGCCGGCAGCTGACGTTGGTTCTCCTGCGGCGCAGGTGGCGGCGTGGCCCATGGCCGGGGCTCTCATCGGCGGCGTCGTGGCCGGGCCCCTCGGCTTTCTCACCGGACTCAAAGTGGCCGCCATCGCGGCCGTCATCAGCGGAAGCCTCATCGGCTTCACGGGCGGAACGATCATCCAGAAGTGGAAGGAGCGGCGGCGCGAAAGGCGGCGGCAGGAGCGGTGAGAGCGGGACTAGTGATATGCTCCCACGTGGCCGCCCCGTGGGGGGCTGTACGTAAGCCCCCCACACTCCTGCTGGTCCCGGAGAAGTTTTTTTCAATGTTGGGGTTGACCCGATGTGGACCGGGTGGCTTTGGGGTTGCTGAGGTCTCCTCCGGCGTTGCGTGAGGAGTCTGTGGTCTCGGCCTGGCCACCCATCGCTCTCTGTTGGCCTCCTGCACTTAGTTTGGCTGCATTCCACCTCCTGTGATTCCTGAGAAATCTAAACGAACGGTTTGACCGTCATTCGACGGCTCGCTGTGCTCCCTGTGCCAGGCGAGGGGCATGGCTGGCTACCCTGCGGTGCGCTAGGCACACAGGGCAAATTGTGTTCCTAGGAGGCTGAGGGTTTGTTTTTGCTGGGGAGTAGGGGGGGGTCCCGTGCACTGTGTGGAGGTCTGAAGTAAGCGATAGGAGTTGCGGAGGTGTTTGGGGCAAGCGCTGTTACGAATGCTAAGTTATTGATGTTGTTGATGATGGTCACAATGACTGCACAAAAAGTAACGGTTTTTTTTTTGCACATTGGGCTTGTGACGAGCACTTGATGTTGCTGTGGAGATTACGAGTTACAAAATAAACGAGCAAGGAAGTCCCTTTGGCCTCCTTCCCCGCAAGCGGGTCCCTTCGCCAGCCACGCACACCTGCTGAGCGCGCATCCTTGCAAGCGGCACTGGTCCTGGTTCAACATCGATCCCAACCATCCTTGTCGCGCCACCCAACAAGGTTTATTCCAAGCGGCCACTTCTTTCCCCCACCCTCCAAGTTGCTTCACGCCAGAGGTCGCAACAGGTACCCGATACCTGTACCCTACCCGATACCCGTTTGTGACCCTGCGCGCGGCGGGTACGGGTAGGCCGTGAGTCACTGGTGAGTAACCGTTTGTCACTCATTTCGGGTAGGGTACGGATAGGGAACGGGTACCCGTACCCGGCTGGGTACGGGTACCCATTTGCGACCCTGGTGCGGCCGGGTACGGGTAAGGAATCAAAACCCCGTTTGCGACCTCTGCTTCACGCCATCCTGCCGAGGCACACCCTTTGCACTCTCCCTGCAACCGCAACGAACGAAGCGGCCACAAAAAAAGAAGAATCTGTCGCTTAAAAACAATAAAATAAGTCATTTTTATTCACGGAGTACCTTCCCCCCCCTCCACCCCACCCGCCCTACTGCCCCCACCCACCCATTACCCCTCCCACCGTGCCTTACCCAAAGGATTTTCTAGAGGTTCGAGTTCTGCTGCTACCGTGCCCCCCCCCTAGGAATATTTCATTGGGATTTCTGACCAAAGCCCACGGATTGGAACATCTGATCCGCGGATCGGCACCGCGTGTCAACCCGCGCATTCCTCGGCTCGCTAGGATGATGTCGCAGCATCATCGACGTCGTCATTTACGCGAACGCCACTTCGTTGTGTCTACGCTGTCTGTTAAAAGTCGCGTTCGTACATCATGTACAAGCAGTCGTGAACGTCCGTCGTGAAGATGAGCAAGGAAGTAATGAAACTGACTTCAGGCAATTATCCCGCACCCCCTCCCCCCCATCCGTCCTTCCACGTAAAATATACAATATTTTACACATGCCCCCATCAGCCTTCTGAAGCACTGCTACCGAAATGCAGCCACTCCCACCAGACAGACGGGGCCCGCGTGGGACGTGTAACTTCTTGCACGTTCATGCTGAGAGAACAGAGGGGTGAGGAACGGGTGGAATCTGCCCGCGTGGTAATGCCGTGACCATCGCAGGCCGCGCTCGCACCGGCACACACCATCGCTCCCATCGACGCCTGGTCGCCAAACGCCACCGATTTTTGTAGTTTGTTGTCCTTAACCCGGCACCTCCGATTAGCACAGGTTTGCCTACGTACGGTGCGAAAGACGCTCTACAGACCGAGCGACAGATGCCAACACGGACAACTGTGGACATTGCCATCGCAGCAACCGCTCGGAACAGGGGGGGGGGGGGGGGGCGTGGGGTGAGGCATCGTGTTTTTTTTTGGATCTCCGTTTTAATTGATTCCAAGACGCCAAGGGACGGCGTCGGCACGGGAGATCCTCATCCAGCAGTGGATTGGCACTGGTGCCACGCCGCCGCCGCCACGCGCCCCCGAGGGTCACGAATCCGAACCCCCCGGGACCGGCAAAACGCCTCCCAAGTGTATTACGATTGATTTCGTTAACGTGGTTTAACCCAGGATGCGATAACGTTTTTTATTATTATAATTGTTCGTCGATGTAAACACGTTTACTTGATCGACATACTTTTGCCGATCGCCGAAAGAGCGTTGTCTGTTTTTCCCTCGCCACCACGAGTGCCGGCTGATAATTATTCACAACTTCAATTTCACAGCTGGTCATCGGCGTGCGATTCTCAGCGGTGGCCCCACGTGGTACAACAAGCGCAGCCTGCCAATGTAATCATCCACACCGTCTCCCTCCCGGCCTCTCTCTTTACGCGCCATGAAGAAGGGGCATTGCCTAAAACGTCGCGCAACATCACATACTTCTGTCAAGGCCACGGCGTCTCCAGCGATGTGTTCACAGTGGGAGCGAGCCGCGTGCCTGGCGAGGTCACTTGCCGCCACGGCGAACGGCGGGCGCCTTCTCGGATAAAGCGGAGCCGGAACATCTCGGGGAACGCGGATGATGCGAGAGGGACGCTAAAAACGAATGACTTCACTCTCCAGAAAACACACACGGTAACCCCCCCCCCGCACCGACACGTACACGATAAAGACACAAACAGAGCTCCCCGTGTGAGGCCAGGGCAGCCTGAGAACCCCCCCCCCCCGCCCACGTGGGCCGTGGACTTGCGGCGTGTCACGGTTGATCGAACGGGGGCCCCGCCCAGAGCAGAAGAGGTTCGCGGTTCGAATCCAGCGGCCGTCCTGGCGTTTGCTATTAACGTTGGGGGGGGGGGGGGGGGCACCGGGGGCCTTCTGAAAGAGACACGGGGCCCGGCGAGGCTGTGCTGGGTGAATGACGATGACAATCCGCGGGTTCTGTTCTAAACCGGGGCAGCCCCCGCGCGATCCGTCTCGTTTCGGGGGTCGATTTGGAACAGAGGTCGCAAACGGGTTTTGATTCCTTACCCGTACCCGGCCGCACCAGGGTCGCAAACGGGTACCCGTACCCGCGGGTACGGGTCGCTGGGTATCGGGTACCCGGTTGCGACCTCTGATTTGGAATCAACTGCGAGAGATCACGGGGACTGGGGGGGCAGGTGGCTCCTGTTGGGGGGGGGGGCTGCCCCCCCCCACCCCTCTTCCCCCCGGGGGTGGGGGGGGGGTGTGTACGCGGGCAACTCCGCAAATCGTCCAAATGAACTTTTATTTTGCAGTCGGCTTGGAAGTTCTTCAAGAAATCAGGACAACGCGGAACTCGTCAACAACAACTCGAGTCGGCCCGTCGCTGTGGCTGTCCCACACGTAAGCTGGGGCCACGGTCTCCTCCTCCACCACCACCCCCCTCACCCTCACCCCTTTTAGCCTCGCAGACCCGCAGGGGCGAGTGCAGTTAGCGAGCACCTAGTAAGGCCGGGGGACAGGGCACGCAACGGGGATGATGGTGGAGCTGTACCCATGACCACCTTCCCACCCACGTCAATTTGAACGCAACGTGACACCAAGTTGCTCGTTTACAACGGAGTCAACCTACGCGGGAGAGGGGAGGGGGTCGGTGGGGGGCCCGGGGCAGTTCCAGACGCCCCGTATCAGCAATGCTCGGCCGAGGCTTGGCAGCGGGACCCGGGGGGGGGGGGGGGGTGGTCCACATGGGGCACAGCGGAGCACGGAACGCGACCCGGCCGGCCAACAGTGGAATCGTCAAGTCGTCAGCGCTGGGGGGGTCAGAGGTCAGGGCAAGGCTCGGATTGACCGGCCCGGTTCGCTAAAAATGGCCGGAAGTCCGCCAGCATTGGTTCGAGCAAAGAGCCTGGCTCTCTGTTGACGAGAAGCCGGGTGTCGAAATCGGTCCAGCGTTGCGCTCGTGTTGAACCAACGCTGCCGATTGGATTGCACTCCCAGAAGGCAGTGTGTAGCCGGATCGGATGTGTACAAAAATATAGTTCGGTTTCTTTTTTGTTGTAATGTGGGGAGCGAGATTTGTGAAGGGGAATTGTCGCCGTTTTCGTCTACGTCCAAGTCTCACGGTGCCACCACCGCTATTTACACCACCCACCACCACACCACCAGCCCCTCACCACCAACTCACCACCCACCACACCAGCCCCTCACCACCCACTCACCACACACACCCACACACCTCGCACGCTTCGGCTCATTGGTCACTTTGCTTCCTTTTCAATGAACGGTCAAAAACGAACGGACACTCGACGTTCAACGGAACCTGCACGTGGCTCTGTGGCGACCTCCTCTGCAGGTCGCCGTGACGATGGAACAAGTCGCTCGGAGATCGCCACCCGACAGGGCAGGGGGGCGGGGAGGGGGCAGGGGGGGAGTGGGGAGGGGGCAGGGGGGGGGGCAGTCCATCCTCCACTGTGAGTGGCGAGCGGCCGTTCGCCACAGACGCGTCCAACCTGGTGGTCGGACGGAGATTCAGTTGCAGTTTCGTGCAGCCCAAGGGCTCAATTTGGTCACTGGGTAAATTTCCGGGTCGCCGGCTGGCACGTGCGTGCGTGCGCCCGGCAGCCACGGCCGGCAGCGAGGGGTATACTCGATGCGATGTGCCGGGTTCCGGCTGAAATCAAGCGCTGGCCGCACGATCCGAATCGACGCGGCTCTTCGCGAGCTCCTGGAGGAGGTCCCGGCGCGCGCGGCAAAACGTCGAGCAGCGGCAACAGCGCGGGAACACACGGGAGCGCGGTCACGTGTTGACGCACGTGGTAGCGTGGTCACGTGCTCGCACACGTGGTAGCACGGTCGTGTGTTCACGCGCGAGCGCGAGCGGGAGTGCGGTAACGTGTTAACACATGAGTGCACGTGGCAGCGTGGTAACGTGTTAATGCGGTCGCAAACGTGGTCGCGCGGTAACTTGCCGTCGGCTGTGGTCAACCGGAAAAGCCACAAGTGCCAACCCTGTTTAAAGATCAACATGACCCATCGTCGTCATCGTCGTCATCCCTTGGCGCTTGATGAGGTGCCTGGTGACAGCAGTCAGAGTCAACAGTAGATGCGGGGTTGTGCCGTGGTTGTGCCGCGGTTGTGCCACGGTACAACCGTGGTTGCGCCGTTGCCGTCGGGTCCCGGCGCCGCCTGCCCTTTTCGGCGCCATGTCCGACGTTTCGCTTCGCGTGCCCGGGAGCTTCTTCAGGAGCTCCCGGCCCCTGCGGCGAAACGCTGGAGGTTGCGCTGAACACGCAACCACGGCACGGCACCAGAGGAGACACAGAGCTAGCTGCTGCTGATGACGCTGTTGCTGATGACCCTGTTGACGCTGCTGCCACTGTCGCTGTTTACGACCCACCTCCCACGTGCCTTTCCGTCCATCGAGCGGGGAGCGCTTTCTAGTTTCCTGGGCTCGGCTGCTCGCAGCTGATGCTGGTCGGACCAACCCAGGCCGAGTGGGGTCTCGTCGTCAGCACGCCGGCGTCGGGCCGATGGCAAGAGTCTGCCGGCCGCGACGCAGGGCGGGACGGTGCGGAGCGCCCATCCGCCCCGGGTGAGCGGCTCCGTCCGTCCAGGCGACAAAACCGGGGACGAAGATCCACGCTCGGCCGGCCTGGCTCCCCCCGGCGGCGAGGGGCGGCGGCGAGCGACCCACTCGCCCGCTCGCCCGCCGGCTCTGTCGCCCGCGGGGGAGGGGAGTGGAGTGAGTGGAGTGAGCAGCGGTGAGACGCGGAGATCGTCCGGGCGAGGACCGCAGCCTTGACGGTCGACGACGATTGTGGTGGCGGATGACGATTGTGGTGGCGATGACGATGATGGTGGGGCGATGATTGTGGTGGTGGTGGACGCGATGGCGATGTTGGTGGGCACCGCACGGGAAGGGGACTCGTGGGTAAACCGCCCGGCGTCGCCGCTCACCCTGCTCCACGCCGGCCATGCGGCGTCTCACGACCCGGGCCGCTCTGGGGATCGAGACTCTCCCCCCCGAACCGACCGAGTTGTTCCCCCGGGCCAAACAACGTCCCCTCGAATCTCTCCAACGCGGCTTCCTGACGGCGGAGAGGTCCCCGCCGACTACCAACCCGGGCGGTGGAACAGCGACTTTCCGGGCGCGTTTACAGCCCGACCCCAACCCAAACCCCGCCGCTACTTATGCACCTCTTCGTCGTCGTCGTCGTCGTCGTCGCCGTGACCGTTCTAACGCCATAACCTCGCGTGACCTTGTAAACTCAGGCGTAACACCCCGCCGGGAACATCGATGGGAAGACCCAAACCGGAGAAACGAGTCGGAAGCGTTTGCTAGCGACCTGCGACTCTCTCCCCCCCTTCCTCTCCCAGCGATGGGACGATACACTGACCCACGCGACGCACGCACCCGGGGAAGCGTCCGGCTGTCCGGCACGGGATGGGATGGAAGTAAAGATCCTCGGAAGCCCGGAGTGACTCCCTCCCCTCCCCCAACCTACCCCCCCCCCTGCCCAACCCCCCCCCCCAACCCCGCCCCCCCCCCCCCTCTCATAGCTCTCTGAACGTGCACGGAACTCTCCGAGATGAAGAATCGTTCCGCGGATATCCACCCGGGAAACGCGTGGTAGTGATTGTGCCCCCCCTCAAACCGCGTCACTGCTGCCACTCGCAAAAAACAGCCGTGGGGCTTCCGAGGATAGTTCCCCGTGGCGGTGACGATTGGCGGTGTGGGTGGCGGTGTGGGTGGCGGTGACGATTGGCGGTGACGGTGGCGGTGAGGGTGGCGGTGAGGGTGGCGGTGAGGGTGGCGGTGTGGGTGAGGGTGAGGATTGGCGGTGACGGTGGCGGTGAGGGTGGCGGTGAGGGTGGCAGTGAGGGTGGCGGGCGGGTGAGGGTGGCGGTGTGGGTGGCGGTGTGGGTGGCGGTGTGGGTGGCGGTGAGGGTGGCGGTGCGAGGGTGGAGGTGCGCGGGTGAGGGTGGCGGGCGGGTGAGGGTGGCGGTGAGGGTGGCGGTGAGGGTGGCGGTGTGGGTGGCGGTGTGGGTGGAGGTGCGCGATTGAGGGTGGAGGGCGGGTGAGGGTGGCGGTGAGGGTGGAGGTGCGCGGGTGAGGGTGGCGGGCGGGTGAGGATGAGGGTGGCGGTGAGGGTGGCGGGCGGGTGAGGGTGGCGGTGAGGGTGGCGGTGAGGGTGGCGGTGTGGGTGGCGGTGTGGGTGGCGGAGTGGGTGGCGGTGAGGGTGGAGGTGCGCGGGTGAGGGTGGCGGGCGGGTGAGGGTGGCGGTGAGGGTGGAGGGCGGGTGAGGGTGGCGGTGAGGGTGGCGGTGAGGACGGGGGTGGTGTTGGTGACGGTGTTGGGAGCTTCGGGGCCGTTTGTTGACGGTGAGGAAGGGGTAAGGAGGGCAAGCCGAGTGCACGGTGAGAGGTGGTGAGCAACAGGCGAGGGCTAAGGACAGCGGGAGGTCAGCGAGAGGTGAGTCAGGTTGAAGTGAAGTGACCGGCAGGTAAGGGAGGAGGAGAGTGGTGCGGCGAGTGGTGAGCGAGGTGGTGAGCGAGGTGGTGAGCGAGGTGGTGAGCGAGGTGGTGAGCGAGGTGGTGAGCGAGGCGGTGGGGTCGTCTCAGAGCTCGTCGCGGTCTCTCTTGAGGATGGTGTAGCGACGGTCGCTGGGGGCCAGCTTCTGGAAGGAGCTCTCTGGGGGGTCACTGGACTCCACCAAAAACTACACGGGGAGGGGACGGCGGGGTGGGGGGCGAGGGGGGGCAGAGCAACCACGTGATGCTGTGTCTATATGACCATGCACACTGCTGTGTCACTGTGTGTGTACCACTGTCACTGTGTATGTGTACCACTGTCTCTGTGTGTGTGTGTGTCACTGTGTGTGTGTACCACTGTCACTGTGTGTGTGTGTGTGTACTACTGTCACTGTGTGTGTGTGTGTCACTGTGTGTGTGTGTACCACTGTCAATGTGTGTGTGTGTGTACCACTGTCACTGTGTGTGTGTGTACCACTGTCACTGTGTGTGTACCACTGTGTGTGTGTACCACTGTCACTGTGTGTGTGTGTGTACCACTGTCACTGTATGTGTGTGTGTACCACTGTCTCTGTGTGTGTGTGTGTCACTGTGTGTGTGTACCACTGTCACTGTGTGTGTGTACCACTGTCACTGTGTGTGTGTGTGTCACTGTGTGTGTGTGTACCACTGTCACTGTGTGTGTGTGTGTACCACTGTCACGGTGTGTGTGTGTACCACTGTCACTGTGTGTGTACCACTGTGTGTGTGTACCACTGTGTGTGTGTGTACCACTGTCACTGTGTGTGTGTGTCACTGTGTGTGTGTGTACCACTGTCACTGTGTGTGTGTGTACCACTGTCACTGCGTGTGTGTGTACCGCTGTGTGTGTGTGTGTACCGCTGTGTGTGTGTATCACTGTGTGTGTTGTACCACTGTCACTGTGTGTGTTACACTGTCACTGTGTGTGTGTATCACTGTCACTGTGTGTGTTACAGTATCACTGTGTGTGTTACACTGTCACTGTGTGTGTTACACTGTGTGTGTGTATCACTGTCACTGTGTGTGTGTGTTACACTGTCACTGTGTGTGTACCACTGTGTGTGTGTACCACTGTCACTGTGTGTGTGTACCACTGTGTGTGTGTCACTGTGTGTGTGTACCACTGTGTGTGTGTACCACTGTGTGTGTGTTACACTGTCACTGTGTGTGTTACACTGTCACTGTGTGTGTTACACTGTCACTGTGTGTGTTACACTGTCACTGTGTGTGTGTACACTGTCACTGTGTGTGTTACACTGTCACTGTGTGTGTTACACTGTCACTGTGTGTGTTACACTGTCACTGTGTGTGTTACAGTGTCACTGTGTGTGTGTGTAACACTGTCACTGTGTGTGTTACACTGTCACTGTGTGTGTTACACTGTCACTGTGTGTGTTACACTGTCACTGTGTGTGTGTTACACTGTCACTGTGTGTGTGTGTACCACTGTGTGTGTGTGTGTACCACTGTGTGTGTGTGTGTACCTCTGTCACTGTGTGTGTGTGTACCACTGTCACTGTGTGTGTGTGTGTACCACTGTCACTGTGTGTGTGTGTACCACTGTCACTGTGTGTGTGTGTGTGTGTACCAGTCACTGTGTGTGTGTGTGTGTGTACCACTGTCACTGTGTGTTTGTGTGTGTACCAGTCACTGTGTGTGTGTGTACCACTGTGTGTGTGTACCAGTGTGTGTGTACCACTGTCACTGTGTGCGTGTACCACTGTCACTGTGTGTGTGTACCACTGTGTGTGTGTGTACCACAGTCACTGTGTGTGTGTGTGTACCAGTGTGTGTGTACCAGTGTGTGTGTACCAGTGTGTGTGTACCACAGTCACTGTGTGTGTGTGTGTACCAGTGTGTGTGTACCAGTGTGTGTGTACCACTGTCAGAGTGTGTGTGTGTGTGTGTCCCCTCACCTGCTCCTCGACCACCTGTGTCGGGTCGGGGCCGTGGTGGAATTCCCGGTGCAGCTTTCCCGAGTGCAGGTCCAGCACAAACTGCCTCAGCTTGCCGGGCACCCTGCACACACAGACAAAGGTCCCCCGTGTAGCTCACAAGGACCCGCCGGGGCAAGCGCTGTCGGCCAGCGCCCTGGTGAGGCCGGAACGGCGCACGAGATGCTGGCGCGGCCGGAACAGAGCCCGGCCGCCTTTGTCTCCCCGGTGGCGAAGTTACCCAACGCACCGGGTACTGATTTAAGACCGAGTCGACCTAGGAGAGGCCTTGGCTCGGATCAGATATTAACAACCGATGTTGACCGGGTTCTTAGCACAGTGCGCAAACCACTACGCTACCGCTCCAAAGATAAAGGATGCCCTGTACGTATACTTCAACAGCCTGTTGGGCTGTGAGCGATCGCCTATTCAGGCCGGCATGTCCACACACACAGAGACACGCAAGACAGACAGCTTGACAGATACAGGCGGACAATCGTAGTCGGTCAAACGATGAGCGAGCATGCGAGTGAGTGAATGAGTATGCGTGTAAGTGAGCGAGGTAGGGAGCGAACACGTGTGAGTGAATCGTGAACGAATAAGTTAGTGAATTAGTGGCCGTGCGGGTGAGTGAGCGAGCGGGTGAGCGAGTGAGCGTGCAGGTCAGTGTGCTTGCGGGCGGCCGTGCGCGGCGAGCAGGCGAGTGAGCGGGCGAGTGAGCGGGCGAGTGAGCGGGCGAGTGAGCGGGCGAGTGAGTGGGCGGACGTGCCAGCGTTGCGGGTACTCACATCATGTCGTTCACGTTGGGGAACACGTACATATGCTTGAAGCTGTCGATGGCGATCACGGGGCAGTCCTTGGGACTCTTGTTGATGTGCTGCAGTGGGTGGCGGAACTTCTCGCAGTCCGCGTGCAGGAAGTTTATCGACCCTGCGAACAGCCGCTCGCTCGTCCACTCGCCCAGCCACTCGCCCGCCCTCTCGCCCGCCCACCCACCCACATCGCTCATCCACCAACCCACCCGCTAGTGGTCGTAACGCTGGTGGGAGTGCTAGTGTTGCTGGTGACAGTGGTGGTGACAGTGGTGGTGACAGTGGTGGTGGCAGTGGTGGTGGCAGTGGTGGTGGCAGTGTTGACGGTAGCAATCGTGGTGACGGTAGTGGTAGTAGTGGTAGCATTAGTGGTGGTAGTGCTGGTGTTAGTGGCGGCGATAGTGCTGATGTTAGCGATGATGGTGCTGGTGCTGGTGGTGTTGGTGGTGCTGGTGGTGCTGGTAGTGCGGTAGCGGCGTACCCTTCTCGCTGATGAGCTGGCGCGCCACCTCCAGCTGGAAGCGGCTGAGCGTCTCCTCGTCCTCGCGGTTGTGGAAGAGGATGAGGAAGGGGAGCCCCTCCTCCGTCAGCTCCTGCCACCCGGCAACGCCGGCGTCAACCGCAGTCACGCGCCAGTCGCACAACCCCGCCCGCTCGCGCCAACGTACGGACCGATCGCCCCGCCCGCCCGTGCCAACGTACGGACCGATGGCCCCGCCCGCTCGCGCCAACGTACGGACCGATCGCCCCGCCCGCCCGTGCCAACGTACGGACCGATGGCCCCGCCCGCTCGCGCCAACGTACGGACCGATCGCCCCGCCCGCCCGTGCCAACGTACGGACCGATGGCCCCGCCCGCACGCGCCAACGTACGGACCGATCGCCCCGCCCGCCCGTGCCAACGTACGGACCGATCGCCCCGCCCGCCCGTGCCAACGTACGGACCGATCGCCTCGCCCGCCCGTGCCAACGTACGGACCAATCGCCTCGCCCGCACGCGCCAACGTACGGACCGATCGCCCCGCCCGCCCGTGCCAACGTACGGACCGATCGCCCCGCCTGCACGCGCCAACGTACGGACCAATCGCCCCGCCCGCCCGTGCCAACATATGGACTTGATCGCCCCAGAAGAGCCATCGTGTGCCATCTACTGTGATGCAGACGGCGTGTGGCAGTGTTGTGGTGAACGTACAATGCTGCATTAACCAGGGTGGCCCGCGGGATTCGGACGGTGAGCCTCTGCAACGAGCGGGGACCACACTCCCGCGGCCGTACAACCATCACAACTATCGTGGGGGCCACGCGACAATATGGAGTGGTGGCGGTGGTGGCGGTGGTGGCGGTGGTGGCGACGGCGGTAGCAGTGGCGATGGCTCCAGGGAGACGCGACGCCGCACCCACCTCTCCGTTCTCGAATGTGATCTCCCGGACGAGTGGCACGCACTTGTCCTGCGTCCACGCGAACAGCAGCTCCTGGTTCTTGAGCGTGCCCAGGAACACCATGTCCGGGTTCTTCTCCTGGGGGCACCACAACGGAGACACGGGCGCACGCGTGCCGTCCTTCTGCGAGTGCGTGGGTCTCTGTGCGAGCAGTCTGTGGGTCTCTGTGTAAGTCTGTGGGTCACTGTGTAAGTCTGTGGTTCACTGTGCGAGTCCGTGGGGCTATGTGCGAGGAGTCTGTGGGTCTCTGTGCGAGTCCGTGGGTCTCTGTGCGGGGAGTCTGTGGGTCTCTGTTTGAGTCTGTGGGTCTCTGTGTAAGTCTGTGGGTCTCTGTGTGAGTCTGTGGGTCTCTGTGTGAGTCCGTGGGTCTCTGTGTGAGTCCGTGGGGCTCTGAGCGAGGAGTCTGTGGGTCTCTGTGTGAGTCCGTGGGTCTCTGTGTGAGTTTGTGGGTCTCTATGCGAGTCCGTGGGTCTCTGTGTGAGTCTGTGGGTCTCTGTGCGGGGAGTCTGTGGGTCTCTGTGCGAGTCCGTGGGGCTCTGTGCGAGGAGTCTGTGGGTCTCTGTGTGAGTCCGTGGGTCTCTGTGCGAGTCCGTGGGTCTCTGTGCGAGTCCGTGGGTCTCTGTGCGGGGAGTCTGTGGGTCTCTGTGCGAGGAGTCCGTGGGTCTCTGTGCGAGGAGTCCGTGGGTCTCTGTGTGAGGAGTTCGTGGGTCTCTGTGTGAGGAGTTCGTGGGTCTCTGCGCGAGTCCGTGGATCTCTGTGTGGGGAGTCTGTGGGTCTCTGTGTGAGGAGTCCGTGGGTCTCTGTGCGCGTGAGCGGTGACCCCTCACCCCTGCTGGCCGGTAGATGATGTTGTCTCCCGAAAACCGCTCGGGCTTGGAGATGTCCCTACACGGAACACACATGGGGTTCACATGGAACGGAACACACGCTGCGTTAGCACGGAACGGAACATACAGCAGCTTGCGCGTGTGTGCCCGCGTGTATGTGCGTATGCGCGTGTGTGCGTGTGTGTGCGCGTGTGTGCGCGCACCCGAAGGCGGCGTAGAAGACGCAGTCCTCCCGCAGGACGTGTGCGACGCGCAGGAACGTGCGGTAGTTCTCCCCCTCCTGCTCCTCAAAGTAGCCGACGATCGTCCTCTTGCTGCGCTGTGTTGCGTCACGCACGCAAGAAGCGCACGCACGACATGCACACGCAGCACGCACACAACCCACGCGAGACGCACGCACGCACAGGACGATCGGCCTAATTCAGAGGACACGGCGCAAGTCCCTCGTGTAAATGATTGATCCCAGGAGACAGGAGAAGAGAGGCTAGGGATAGGAGTCTCCTTTGCAAGTAAATAAAATACAGCAAAGAGCAATCGGAGCAGAGACAGCAAGATTACAGTTAGAGCAGAGACAACAAGATCTGGGGTGGATCGGGGGTGGATCGGGGGTGGATTTGGGGTGGATCTGGGGTGGATCTGGGGTGGATCCGGGGTGGATCCGGGGGTGGATCAGGGGGGTGGATCCGGGGTGGATCGGGGGTGGATCTGGGGTGGATCCGGAGTGGATCCGGGGTGGATCTGGGGGTGGATCTGGGGGTGGATCAGGGGGGTGGATCGGGGGGTGGATCGGGGGGTGGATCAGGGGTGGATCAGGGGGGTGGATCCGGGGTGGATCTGGGGTGGATCTGGGGTGGATCCGGGGTGGATCCGGGGTGGATCCGGGGTGGATCTGGGGGTGGATCTGGGGTGGATCTGGGGGTGGATCCGGGGTGGATCCGGGGTGGATCCGGGGGTAGATCCGGGGTGGATCTGGGGGTGGATCAGGGGGGTGGATCTGGGGGTGGATCAGGGGTGGATCAGGGGTAGATCTGGGGTGGATCTGGGGTGGATCTGGGGGGTGGATCCGGGGGTGGATCTGGGGTGGATCAGGGGGTGGATCCGGGGTGGATCCGGGGTGGATCTGGGGTGGATCCGGGGTGGATCCAGGGTGGAGCGCGGCTCACGTCGATGTCGTCCAGCTGGTCGAGGGTTTCGAGCCGCAGCACGGGATCGAGCGTCTGCTGGCGCACAAAGTCGGCGAGCGCGGCGGCGGAGCGCTGCCCGCGGAACTCGCGCCGCATCATCCGCCCGCTCTTGAACACCTTCATCGTCGGGTACTTGGAGATGCGGTACCGTTGTGCCAGCTCCGCTGTCGTGGGGGGGAGGAGGGGGTGGGATAGTCGGAGGGTAAAGGTTAAAGGTCGTTGTTGTTGTTGTGTGAATTATTATCACTGTTGTTGCGATTCCTCTCGTTAACCCAGCAGAGCCTCACAGAGACTCGATACTCAGGAGGGTGCTGCCATGTTTACGCAGGAGGGGCTGCTGCTGCTGCTGCTCCTGCTGTAGTTGCTGTAACTGCTGCTGCAGCTGCTGCTGTAGCTGCTGCTGTAGCTGCTGCTGCTGCTGCAGCTGCTGCTGCAGCTGCAGCTGTAGCTGCTGCTGTAGCTGCTGCTGCTGCTGCAGCTGCTGCTGCAGCTGCTGCTGTAGCTGCAGCTGCTGCTGTAGCTGCTGCTGCTGCTGCAGCTGCTGCTGCAGCTGCAGCAGCAGCTGCAGCTGCAGCTGCTGCTGCAGCTGCTGCTGTAGCTGCTGCTGTAGCTGCTGCTGCTGCTGCAGCTGCTGCTGCAGCTGCTGCTGTAGCTGCAGCTGCTGCTGTAGCTGCAGCTGCTGCTGTAGCTGCTGCTGCTGCAGCTGCTGCTGCAGCAGCAGCTGCTGTAGCTGCTGCTGTAGCTGCTGCTGCTGTAGCTGCTGCTGCTGTAGCTGCTGCTGCTGTAGCTGCTGCTGTAACTGCTGCTGCTGCTGTAGCTGCTGCTCCTGCTGCTGCTGCTGTTCGGCGTGGATTCCGATTGACGACGTGCGGTGCGATTTCATGAATTTGGCAAAACTGGCCACCGTGACGCCCCCCCCCCCCGCCCTTATCACCTCCCGTCCAGCGGCACGACGGCACGTGCGTCCACACTGTACGCGTCCAGCTCCCCGCTGTGCTGGAGGGGCGCCCCGAGCGTTGATGGCGTGGGCGAGCGAGAGAGCGACGAGCGGACGAGTGCGTCGTGGGTTGCGATCATTACTCACTAAACGTGTCCCTGTGCGCGCGTAATTGGCTTTGTGCACCTTGCGCTAACGAGTCGCGAGGAACCGCCCCCGCCTACCCCTTGTTACCCGACACTTGCACACTCGCTCCCACTCACGCACCCACGTACGCTCCCACTCACCCACTCACTCACACACCCACTCACTCATGCACTCACTCACTCACGCACTCACTCACTCACTCACGCACTCACTCACTCACTCACGCACTCACTCACGCACTCACTCACGCACCCACTCACTCCCGCATGCTCCCACCCAGTCACGCATGCTCGCTCCCACGCTCGCTCCCACTCACGCACGCAGGCTTGCACGCACACTTGCACTCACGCACCCACGCACGCTCCCACTCACTCACGCACGCACGCTTGCACGCACGCTTGCACTCACGCACCCACGCACGCTCCCACTCACTCACGCACGTTCGCTCCCACTCACTCCCGCATGCTCCCACCCACTCACGCATGCTCGCTCCCATGCTCGCTCCCACTCACGCATGCACACTTGTTCCAACTCACGCACGCACTCATGCACGCTCCCAGAAACGCACGCTTCCACTCACGCAGCTCCTACTCATGCACGCTTCCACGCTCCCACTCATGCATGCACGCTCCCACTCACGCACACTCGCACTCACGCACGCACGCTCCCACTCACGCACACTCGCACTCACGCACGCACGCTCCCACTCACGCACACTCGCACTCACTCACGCACGCACGCTCCCACTCACGCACACTCGCACTCACGCACGCACGCTCCCACTCACGCACACTCGCACTCACTCACGCACGCACGCTCCCACTCACGCACACTCGCTCCCACTCACGCACACTCGCACTCACGCACGCACGCTCCCACTCACGCACACTCGCACTCACTCACGCACGCACGCTCCCACTGACGCACACTCGCACTCACGCACGCACGCTCCCACTCACGCACACTCGCACTCACGCACGCATGCTCCCACTCACGCACACTCGCTCGCTCCCTCCCACTCGTACGCTCGCTCCCACTCTCACACTCCCACGCTCCCACTCACACTTGAAACGCTCCACTTACACTTGCACGCTCCCACTCACGCACACTCGCTCCCACTCACGCACGCTCGCACTCACTCACGCACACTCGCTCCCACTCACGCACACTCGCACTCACGCACGCACACTCGCTCCCACTCACGCACGCACGCTCCCACTCACGCACACTCGCTCGCTCCCTCCCACTCGTACGCTCGCTCCCACTCTCACACTCCCACGCTCCCACTCACACTTGAAACGCTCAACTTACACTTGCACGCTCCCTCCCACTCACACTCCCACTCCTACCGCCGCCACCACCACCGCTGCTGGGATGGTCATTGTTGTTGTTGTCAACTCCCCCGAGTGGGGCGGCCGTGCCTCCACTCTGCCAATTAAAGCCATTAATCGCCACCAATTAAAGGCCACGCCAGCGATGGGCTGTGCGCACCCCCCCCCCCACCCCCCTCGGGGGAGTGGAGAAGGGAGAGTGCTGCCTGGCTGATTGGCCGTGACACAGAGAACAGCGAGTGCAGGCGAGGGGATTGGTCCAGGGGGGATGCGCTGAGTTTTGCTTAGCCATAGCTCTGTGTGTGTGTGTCTGTGTGTGTATGTCTGTGTATATCTTCGCCGGTTGGAAACATTTAGGCTGGCCTGCCTACGATCCATCCTGGGTTTAACCAGGCTGGATTGTGTGAGGAGCTCACAGATCCTTGAAAGATCTGGGCAAAGTCCCATCGGTGAGCTCCTCCGGCAGGCAAGGCTGCGTTGGCTGGGTCATGTAGCCCGCATGCCCAGCCACCGCATGCCTAAACAGCTTTTGTTCGGCCGGATCGAGGGGGCTAAACGGGCGCGGCACGGGCTAGAGAAGAGATGGAGTGATGTGGTACAGGAGGACGTGGAGCTGAGTGGACTTGCCAATGACTGGTACCAGCGGTGTCAAGATCGGCCTCTGTGGAGGAGGATCATGAAGGACGCTACTGGGCAGTTGGAGGCAGTCGCCTTCCAACAACAACAGAGGGTGGAGGAGCGACGCTCACAACAACAAGCGGAGCGCTGGGTGGCTAAAGCACAGCAAGTTGGTACAGTAGGGGGCACAGGTGGTGCATCAGCCAGTCATCTCGGTCATCTCGGTCAGTCGACCCGTGGCACCTGGGTCTGCCCCATGACCTCCTGCCAGCGGGCGTTCGATACTTCACGTGGCCTCAAGGTGCACATGGCCTAGCACAAGCGTGGTGGCGAATGGCGGTTGTTGTTGTTGTGTGTCTGTGTATGTCTGTGTGTGTCTGTGTGTGGGGAGCGGTAGTGTAGTGGTTAGCGAGCTGCGCTATGAACCCGGCGACACGGGTTCAATTCCTGCCCATGGCCAACACCAGTGGCGATTATCTTGAACCGGTCCCGGGCCTCCCCTAGGTCGACTCAGTCTCAAATGAGTACCTGGTGAGGTGTGTAAACATCGCTACTGGGGAGACAAAGGCGGTCGGGCGTGGTGCTGGCCACCCCACCCCCTCTTATACCGTGCCGGCCTTCATAGGTGCTCGCTAACAGCACTTGCCCCTACAGTCTGTAAAGGCTTTACGGGGGATCTTTGTCTTTGTGTCTGTGTGGTGAGCGGTGGTGCAGCGGTTAGCGCGCTGGGCTACAAACCCGGCAACCGGAGTTTGCTTCCCACTCACGGCCAACACCAGTGGCGATTTTCTGAACCTGTCCGGGGCCTCCCCTAGGTCAACTCGGCCTGAAACGAGTACCTAGTGCGGTGTGTACACATCGCCACTGGGGAGACAAAGGCGGTCGGGCGCGATGCTGGCCCCCCCACCCCCTCGTGTACCGTTCCAGCCTTCATAGGTGCTCGCTAACAGCACTTGCCCCAACAGTCTGTTCAGGCTATACGGGGGATCTTTGTGTGTCTGTGTGTGAGCGGTGGTGCAGCGTGATGATGATGCGAGAGCGACGTGGTGGGTCTGCAGGCACCTTGGAGTTCACAGTCGACGCGCGCAAACACGATGGAGTTGTCCCCCGGGAACTCCTGCTGCACCATGTGGGCCGCCTCGTCAAACACGGGGTGCAGCATCTGACTGAAGCGGCACCTACACACGCATAACACACGTGCACCACACATGTAACACACGTGCAGGAGACATGTAACACACGTGCACCACATGCAACACACGTGCAGCACACATGTAACACACGTGCACCACACATGTAACACACGTGCAGGACACATGTAACACACGTGCCCCACACATGTAACACACGCGCACCACGCGCGTAACACAGGTGCACCACATGCAACACACGTGCAGGACACATGTAACACACGTGCAGGACACATGTAACACACGTGCCCCACACATGTAATACACGTGCACCACACATCTAACACACGTGCAGGACACATGTAACACACGTGCCCCACACATGTAACACACGCGCACCACGCGCCCAACACGCGTGCACCACGCGTGCAACACGCAACACGCGTGCACCACACGCGTGACGTGGGGAAAACCGGCGGCCGTGTTGCAGTGATGACACTCGTGCCTCACAGCAACGAGCGCCCGGGTTCGATTCCTGACCCGGGAGCTTAATGTGCGCAGCGTGTGGATATTTATTCTCCACCTGCTCTGCATGGGTCTCCTCCGGATTTCTCCGGCCCGCTCCCATCACGTAAATAAAACCGGACAGCGTAACAAGCGGTATCGGCCCAAACATCGCGATGCTGCAAATGCCGCCTGCAAAGCGCTCAACTGGGACATCAGCAACAGCAGCATCATCGCGCCCGCCCCACCCCTACTGTGACGGACTTGGCAGGACCCTCCCGAGAGCGAGCCTCGAGACTCGGCGAGGCTCTCCCGGGTGACACGAGCACGCGCTTAGTCGCAGCGATAACACAAATCCGCACGCGCGCTCGTTAGGCCGCCTGCTCGCCTGTTCGCTACATTAGCCGGAATTAAACAAAGGGCGCGCCACGGAGGACCGGGGAGCAACCCCAATTACAACCCCCTAATTACAAACAGGGCCCTGGCCGCCGCCCCCCCTGCCCCCCCCCCTGCCCCCGCGCGTGCCCCCGCGGACTCGTTAAACGGACCCTAACGAACCCTGGCGCTGATCCGCCACCCCGAGCGCGGACGCGCGACGGCACAGGAGGCCCGTGGCGAAATCGACAAGAGCGGCAGGGCAGGGTCGGCATCGTGACCACGTGGAGAGGGGGGGGGAGGAGAGATGACGGGCGCCACACAAGACCCCGTGACCTTTAGGCTAATGATCCGACCCCTGCTCCCACGTCGCACACCCCCCCCCCCCCCACTCCTGGTGGGGTTGAACGACAGCGCTGGCGACCGACCGTATTAGCGCGCACGTTTAGGCCGTCGGGGGCTCCATTCCTGGCCACGGCTCACGTCAGCGGCGCGTTTCGCTTCACTTCTCTCTCTGCTTCTACCCTCGCTCTGCTCCGCTCTGGAATTCCCTCCTCCCATCATCGTCTCTTTCCCCCGATGCTCCTACAACACTAAACTTGCTCGGCTCAAGAGCGACGCGTTAGTAGCCCTCGATACAGTGAGGGAAAAAAGTATTTGATCCCCTGCTGATTTTGTACGTTTGCCCACTGACAAATAAATTATCAGTCTATCATTTTAATGGTAGGTTTATTTGAACAGCGAGAGACAGAATAACAACAAAACAATTCAGAAAAACGCATTGATTTGCATTTTATTGAGGGAAAAAAGTATTTGACCCCTCTGCAAAACATGACTTAGTAATTGGTGGCAAAACCCTTGTTGGCAATCACAGATGTCAGACGTTTCTTGTAGTTGGCCACCAGGTTTGCACACATCTCAGGAGGGATTTTGTCCCACTCCTCTTTGCAGATCTTCTCCAAGTCATTAAGGTTTCGAGGCTGACGTTTGACAACTCGAACCTTCAGCTCCCTCCACAGATTTTCTATGGTATTAAGGTCTGGAGACTGGCTAGGCCACTCCAGGACCTTAATGTGCTTCTTTTTGAGCCACTCCTTTGTCGCCTTGGCCGTGTGTTTTGGGTCATTGTCATACTGGAATACCCATCCACGACCCATTTTAAATGCTCTGGCTGAGGGAAGGAGGTTCTCACCCAAGATTTGACGGTACATGGCCCCCGTCCATCGTCCCTTTGATGTGGTCAAGTTGTCCTGTCCCCTTAAAAGAAAATCACCCCCAAAGCATAATGTTTCCACCTCCATGTTTGACGGTGGGGATGGTGTTCTTGGGGTCATAGGCAGCATTCCTCCTTCTACAAACACGGCGAGTTGAGTTGATGCCAAAGAGCTCCATTTTGGTCTCATCTGACCACAACACTTTCACCCAGTTGTCCTCTGAATCATTCAGATGTTCATTGGCAAACTTCAGACGGGCATGTATATGTGCTTTCTTGAGCAGGGGGACCTTGCGGGTGCTGCAGGATTTCAGTCCTTTACGGTGTAGTGTGTTACCAACTGTTTTCTTGGTGACTATGGTCCCAGCTGCCTTTAGATCATTGACAAGATCCTCCCGTGTAGTTCTGGGCTGATTCCTCACCGTTCTCATGATCATTGCAACTCCACGAGGTGAGATCTTGCATGGAGCCCCAGGCTAAGGGAGATTGACAGTTCGTTTGTGTTTCTTCCATTTGCGAATAATCGCACCAACTGTTGTCACCTTCTCACAAAGCTGCTTGGCGATGGTCTTGTAGCCCATTCCAGCCTTGTGTATGTCTACAATCTTGTCCCTGACATCCTTGGAGAGCTCTTTAGTCTTGGCCATGGTGGAGAGTTTGGAATCTGATTGATTGATTGCTTCTGTGAGCAGGTGTCTTTTATACAGGTAACAAGCTGAGATTAGGAGCACTCCCTTTAAGAGTGTGCTCCTAATCTTAGCTCGTTACCTGTATAAAAGACACCTGGGAGCCAGAAATCTTTCTGATTGAGAGGGGGTCAAATACTTATTTCCCTCATAAAAATGCAAATCAATTTATAACATTTTTGATATGCGTTTTTTCTGGATTTTGTTGTTGTAATTCTGTCTCTCACTGTTCAAATAAACCTTCCATTAAAACTATAGACTCATCATTTCTTTGTCAGTGGGAAAACGTACAAAATCAGCAGGGGATCAAATACTTTTTTCCCTCACTGTATATGTTACAACTCGGAAAATAGCGCTGCCAAGTCTCAAGTTGGAGTCTGTGTAACCCGGTGAGAACTCAAGGGACCGGGACAGGAGTCTCATTCGCCCCAGCGACCTGGGTTGTCACCCAAAACGACAAAAAAAACTCAACAAATTAAAGGATAGCAAATGCCACGTTTTGTCCACGACGCCGCGCGTGCTGAGAGTGCTCGTGCCGTCGTCCGTCTGTTGGTCCGGAGACGCACGTAAAGAAGACCCAACACGAGGTGGCCAACCGGAGCCCGAGAGATTTTACTTCAGATCTCGGATCAAACTCTGACATCGTAAACAGGAGGAGCACACTCACCAGTCCGCGTAGAAGTTGACCATCACCAGATCCGCGGAACCTGCACCGCGGCGCACAGAGCCGCGGGGCCAGACCGGGGGGGTGGGTAAGCTCGGTGAGCAACGTTGCATTCACGTTGCATAAACACTCATCGTCCCCGTAACGTGTATGAAGCCGTTTTGTATCGCGACCTATGTGAACATGCTTGTGTCACTAAGAATTGTACAATACAACACCTGTACCATCGCAGGACACTCACAAAATAGAGCCTAGCAGCTCGTTGGGCACTTCCAGCTGAAATAAATAAAATCTATCTATTAATTGGCTGAAAGCGTCCTGAGAAATAGAGAACTGTAGAGCTTGGGCAACTGTCTGGCTGCAGCCTTCCCGCTCGTCTGTGGATCCTCAGCTTTTGTGAGATTCAATAAAGGACGCTGTATGAAACTTAACATGATTCGTATTCATATTACATTGTTAATGTAAACTTCAATCCATATTCTGAGGTCCGTATCCCGAGTCACGGCTCAGCTCAGGCTTGGCTCTGGCTCAAGTGAGCCATGGCTCAAAGCCGCGTGCTCCAAGCATGGTCCCAGCCATTCTCAGGATGTTTCCATGAGTCTGACCTTGAGCCAGGCCACAGCTGAGCAGCTCACTCGCGCCTCTTTGTATGCAACGGAGCGGCTCGAGCCCGAGCTGGGTCTAGAGGCAAAGCCTGAAATGAGCCCGAGTCAAGTCACGTAGAAGGGAGCTTGAGCTAGGTCGATACTAAGAACGTGGCGCTTAACTTGAATCAACGCCAGCCTGCGGAGTTCCAGTGAAAACTGTGAAGTTCGTGTGGTCACAGTTTCATTCTCGTCGACTGTCGCCCACGATCAAGCAATAGCAGGTCTGATAAATGGTTCTTTACCCTTCTATCTGGCAACAAAACTGACACCTTTTTGCAAGGAGTCATGTTTGCATAGACCGCAATACCTGCAGTCATAAATACAAACAAAAGACATAACTCTGATAATGTGCACTGTCCTTGAAGTTGATTGGTCCACACCCGAGACAGCTTTCCTTCGAGCCTAGTCTCATATGGGTTGGACCAGATGACGCCAAAAGGCGCACAACTCAAGGACAATGCACCATCAGAGTATGAGAGCTCGGGGCAAGCATCTACACTATGGGGACCTCATTTGCCAGTAAAAATATGATAATTGGTTCTTTACCCTTCTATCTGGCAACAAAACTGACACCTTTTTGCAAGGAGTCATGTTTGCATAGACCGCAATACCTGCAGTCATAAATACAAACAAAAGACATAACTCTGATAATGTGCACTGTCCTTGAAGTTGATTGGTCCACACCCGAGACAGCTTTCCTTCGAGCCTAGTCTCATATGGGTTGGACCAGATGACGCCAAACGGCGCACAACTCAAGGACAATGCACCATCAGAGTATGAGAGCTCGGGGCAAGCATCTACACTATGGGGACCTCATTTGCCAGTAAAAATATGATAATTGGTTCTTTACCCTTCTATCTGGCAACAAAACTGACACCTTTTTGCAAGGAGTCATGTTTGCATAGACCGCAATACCTGCAGTCATAAATACAAACAAAAGACATAACTCTGATAATGTGCACTGTCCTTGAAGTTGATTGGTCCACACCCGAGACAGCTTTCCTTCGAGCCTAGTCTCATAAGGGTTGGACCAGATGACGCCAAAAGGCGCACAACTCAAGGACAATGCACCATCAGAGTATGAGAGCTCGGGGCAAGCATCTACACTATGGGGACCTCATTTGCCAGTAAAAATATGATAATTGGTTCTTTACCCTTCTATCTGGCAACAAAACTGACACCTTTTTGCAAGGAGTCATGTTTGCATAGACCGCAATACCTGCAGTCATAAATACAAACAAAAGACATAACTCTGATAATGTGCACTGTCCTTGAAGTTGATTGGTCCACACCCGAGACAGCTTTCCTTCGAGCCTAGTCTCATATGGGTTGGACCAGATGACGCCAAAAGGCGCACAACTCAAGGACAATGCACCATCAGAGTATGAGAGCTCGGGGCAAGCATCTACACTATGGGGACCTAATTTGCCAGTAAAAATATGATAATTGGTTCTTTACCCTTCTATCTGGCAACAAAACTGACACCTTTTTGCAAGGAGTCATGTTTGCATAGACCGCAATACCTGCAGTCATAAATACAAACAAAAGACATAACTCTGATAATGTGCACTGTCCTTGAAGTTGATTGGTCCACACCTGAGACAGCTTTCCTTCGAGCCTAGTCTCATATGGGTTGGACCAGATGACGCCAAAAGGCGCACAACTCAAGGACAATGCACCATCAGAGTATGAGAGCTCGGGGCAAGCATCTACACTATGGGGACCTCATTTGCCAGTAAAAATATGATAATTGGTTCTTTACCCTTCTATCTGGCAACAAAACTGACACCTTTTTGCAAGGAGTCATGTTTGCATAGACCGCAATACCTGCAGTCATAAATACAAACAAAAGACATAACTCTGATAATGTGCACTGTCCTTGAAGTTGATTGGTCCACACCCGAGACAGCTTTCCTTCGAGCCTAGTCTCATATGGGTTGGACCAGATGACGCCAAAAGGCGCACAACTCAGTTTTGTTGCCAGATAGAAGGGTAAAGAACCAATTATCATATTTTTACTGGCAAATGAGGTCCCCATAGTGTAGATGCTTGCCCCGAGCTCTCATACTCTGATGGTGCATTGTCCTTGAGTTGTGCGCCTTTTGGCGTCATCTGGTCCAACCCATATGAGACTAGGCTCGAAGGAAAGCTGTCTCGGGTGTGGACCAATCAACTTCAAGGACAGTGCACATTATCAGAGTTATGTCTTTTGTTTGTATTTATGACTGCAGGTATTGCGGTCTATGCAAACATGACTCCTTGCAAAAAGGTGTCAGTTTTGTTGCCAGATAGAAGGGTAAAGAACCAATTATCATATTTTTACTGGCAAATGAGGTCCCCATAGAATAGCAGGTCTGCTACACCTTTACCTGTATTACTTACACATCACCGCATTCGATATGATACCTCGTGAGTGAGGGTGTGTGTGGGTGTGAGTGAGGTGAGTGAGGCTATGAGGGTTTGAGCGTGAGCAAGGCTTTAATGGTGTGTGTGAGAGCGGTAGTGTAGCGGTTAGAGCGCTGCGCTATGAACCCGGCGACACGGGTTCGATTGCCGCTCACGGCCAACACCACCAGTGACGATTATCTGAACCGGTCCTGGGCCTCTCCTATGTCGACTCAGCCTCAAATGAATACCTGGTGCGATGTGTAAACATCGCCACTAGGGAGACAAAGGCGGCCAGGCGTGGTGCTGGCCACCCACCCCCTCGTGTGCCGTTCCGGCCTTTATAGATGCTCGCTAACAGCACTTGCTCCTACAATCTGTTAAGGCTATACGGGGGATCTTTGTCTTGTGAGAGTGTGAGGGGGGTGAGAATGAATGTGAGTGTGAGCAAGAGTGTGAGCAAGAGTGTGAGTCAAAGCGAGGGTGCTGTGGTTACCTAATATGCTGTCCACGTTCTCGGTGTTGAGGTTTACTGTGCTGCCCAGCACCTGGCTGATCCACGTGGCCTGCATGACATACAAGAGTAGCGCAGTCAGTCAGCTCAAGAGTGGCACCATCAGTTATTCGCGTTCACAGCTTGTAACGCTGCAATATTTGCCAGCGTCACAGTCCAAACTTACCAAACGTGAAAAATTAAACCACAAATTGCTCAACTGGGATCACACACATGCCAACAACATCAACCCCCACCCACTGTGGAACTACAACAGTCCTCCACACAGAGGCGTCTTCCTTAATGATGATTGCCCTGCGCTGTCGACAGGTATTGGCGCTATCGAAACGACAGCGCCAATACCAAACATCATATTATTCATATTAGTATTGTCCTGATGTAGCAGGATCCTCATGAAAAATAGCATAGCCATCAACCTCTTATCGGTGCCTACCTTATTGCAGACCAATTCAGACCTTATTGGTCATCCCGTGCTATTATAAATTCTCAAAGTTCATCCCCCAAAGTCCCATCACAAGGGAGCAACACAAACAAAGAGGAACATTTATTTTTATTTTTGCCCGTATTGAAACGGCTGCACGCCGTATGGACCTGAAAACGTAATTTGCCTGTACAAGAATAAACTGTACGGGTTGACAGCTATGAAATATCATGGGACCTCCTTTGCCAGTACCAAAATATACTAATAGGGGTTTTCCCACTTTTTTTCTGGCAACAAAACTGACACCTTTTGCAAGGAATCATGTTGACATTAACCAAAATACTTGCAGTCAAATGGAAACAAAAAATAAGTTTCAAGGACAATGCATAAATTATCAGAGTATTGTTTTTTGTTTGCATTTGACTGCAAGTATTGTGGTTAATGTAAACATGATTCCTTGCAAAAGGTGTCAGTTTTGTTGCCAGAAAAAAAGGGGAAAAACCCTATTAGCTATGAAATAGTCTTAAGACTCAGGGAGGCTTTCCTGGGCAAAAAAGCACAATAATAATAATAGTGACCCCAGGAGATGCCACACGCATAGCATCAGTACTGGCCCACTGCTCAGCGTGACCTCTGACCTGGTCGATCGGATGACAATCGAGAAAAAAGCTCGGCCTAACAAACGTTCGAGTGCCTCGCTGTTCAAATCGGCGCCGGGGCCGCCACTCATCTCGCCGTCGCCATCGTCACGGCGCTTGTTTACCCAGGAAATCCGCTTCACGCTCGTTCGCGAGGGACCCGCCGAGTTAGCGCCGTGGCGTAACGATGTCGCCGAACCGGGCGCCGCGGCGGCGGCGGGGAGATGCCGTTCTCCCTCGCCTGGTACGCAGGAGGCCGTGGGTTCGATGCCGGACCCCGACGATGCCTGTTGTATATTTGGAGTCAGCGCGTTCCCTCTCCCCGTGGTGGTCGCGTGCTCTCTGCGTTACAGCCGTTCTGCCCTCCTCATTTAGAAACGTGCGCTTGAGATTATTTGGCTGCCCCCTATAAGTTCCCACACCGCGATTAACCACTTCAATGAGCCGTCACGTGAGGCCAGGTTACCTGTGAAAGAGAGCTAATATCTCAGTGGGCTTTATCTGCTAAATCGAAGAGCAAATAGTATTGGCAAGCACCCTCTCTGTTCGACATGGGTCCAGGTTTGACGCCAAACTCTCCATGACGCACAACACAGAATAACCACGAACGTCACTGTGGAGAATTTAGAATTTAACTCCCAAACTAAATCGGCAGACAATCCGCCTCCTTCCCATACCTGTCCCTCATTTATATACAACAACAACAAAAAGATGATTGACAAATTTCATCAGCCACGTGGCCTTCTGGAAGAGTTAAAACGATGAATCGAGCGTCCGGCACCAGGGGTCTTCTTCTTCCCCTTGCACGGCCATCTCTGAGAACCACTTCCGATGCCCGTCACGGTCACCTGACCCCCCCTCCTCCTCCACCCGGCACGCGGGTCACCACATCTCGCAAAGCCTAGAAGCGGTTGAGCCTGGACAGCGCTGGACCCAGCTCGCTCAGGCGAATGAGACTTTTATCCCGGTAACCTTTGAGATCTCACCGGGTTAAACAAAGCCAACTTGAAACCATCGCGCACACACACAGGGTGCGTGCGATAGGCCTTGCGGGTTGCCATGCCAGGGTTGCCATGGCACGGTTGCCATGGCAGGGTTGCCATGGCAGGGTTGCCATGCCAGGGTTGCCATGCCAGTGTTGCCATGGCACGGTTGCCATGGGAAGGTTGCCATGCCAGGGTTGCCATGGCAGGGTTGCCATACCAGGGTTGCCATGGCAGGGTTGCCATGGCACGGTTGCCATGCCAGGGTTGCCATGCCAGGGTTGCCATGCCAGTGTTGCCATGGCACGGTTGCCATGGGAAGGTTGCCATGCCAGGGTTGCCATGGCAGGGTTGCCATACCAGGGTTGCCATGGCAGGGTTGCCATGGCACGGTTGCCATGCCAGGGTTGCCATGCCAGGGTTGCCATGCCAGTGTTGCCATGGCACGGTTGCCATGGGAAGGTTGCCATGCCAGGGTTGCCATGGCAGGGTTGCCATACCAGGGTTGCCATGGCAGGGTTGCCATGGCAGGGTTGCCATGCCAGGGTTGCCATGCCAGGGTTGCCATGCCAGGGTTGCCATGCCAGGGTTGCCATGGGAGGGTTGCCATGGCACGGTTGCCATGGGAGGGTTGCCATGCCAGGGTTGCCATGCCAGGGTTGCCATGGGAGGGTTGCCATGCCAGGGTTGCCATGCCAGGGTTGCCATGGCACGGTAGCCATGGGAGGATTGCCATGCCAGGGTTGCAATGGGAGGGTTTCCATGCCAAGGTTGCCATGGGAGGATTGCCATGCCAGGGTTGCCATGGAAGGGTTTCCATGCCAAGGTTGCCATGGGAGGTTTGCCATGCCAGGGTTGCCATGGGAGGGTTGCCATGGGAGGGTTGCCATGGGAGGGTTGCCATGAGAGGGTTGCCATGCCAGGGTTGCCATGGGAGGGTTGCCATGGCACGGTTGCCATGCCAGGGTTGCTATGCCAGGGTTGCCATGGCGGGCAGCAGAGGGCCAATGCAGAAACATCGATTGCTGCGCTGTATTTCTATGCTCCCCGCTAGCACCGACCCGCGTGGTGAAGTATGGTCAAAGAACCCACACGGGCCGCACAGGCCATCATCCAGCAGTGGAGAGACAGACAGCGCTGTTCATGTACACACACACAAAGTGTACGACACCTAACTTTATAATACAAAGTTATGCACGTTACACTAAGCGTGTATACATTAAGTCTGGTATTAGCATATATAAAGTCCCATAGAACCTTGCCATACTATATATTACTCATGCGTAAAGATAAACTCCGTGCATTTTCATAGAGAACTTTGTATTATAATATTCAAAGCGCACATCATCACGTATAGGCACTCTAGAATACGTACACTGGATAAGAGTAAGCGTTACAGTCTCGACCAATCAGAACGCGGAACCCGACCCCCCCCCCCCCCTCATTGTCTATCCGCGCTTCCAAATGTAAAGCGTCTTGCCGGTGACGTCACGGGCCGGGCCAGCCAATCAGAAGGCGCCACATTTAAAAGCGGAGGCAAGCCAGACAGCCGTAATTCAGATGGCCCAAACATCAACAATTCACAATCACTTTGCTCCTAACATCATCAACATTACCACCACCATCACCACCATCATCATCATCATCACCATCATCACCAGCAGCAGCAGCATTGTCATCTCCACCACCATCACTATCGTTGTCACCATCACAACCAATGACAGCACATCATCACCAACATCATCATCATCCTACTTAATATGATTAACTTAATCATTGCTGTTGCCATCGTTATCATTTAAAAATCACACAAGAACAGACATGCACCTCACCATCAGCGTTCACATCTTCACCATCATCATCATCAAACGTCACCTCCGTCGTTATTTGACATGAACACCACCATCACCCAACATTAACACACAATCACCACCATCATCAGCATCATCAACAAGTTCCACAACCATCTTCACCACTGTCCATTCCCACACGAACAGCAGCAGCAGCAGCAAGCACCCCGCACCTCGTGGACAGCAATCTGTAACAACCAAAGTTAACGCCATCAGACTCTATCCACTGCTGCACGTGGCCCCTCCATGAGACTGTGCACGTTGACACCCAGTAACGTAGTCCAGTCGTGTGTGTGTACATACAGTACACAGTACTCTGTGTGGTGTACTCTGTGTGGTGCAGTCTGTGTGGTGTAGTCTGTGTGGTGTACTCTGTGTGATGTACTCTGTGTGGTGTACTCTGTGTGGTGTACTCAACACGGTAAACTGATAGGTGCTCGCCAACACACAGACACGACATACTACACACACAGACAACACTACACACACAGACGACACACAGACTACACACACAACACACTACACACGCAGACTCTACACACTACACACAGACACAACACTCTACACACACAGACATGACACACACAGACACTACACACAGACATGACACACACAGACAACACATTACACACACAGATAGACAACACACTACACACACAGACAACACACTACACACACAACACACTGACTCTACACACACACTACACACACCACACTACGCACACACATTGACAACACACTGCACAGACTCTACACACTACACTACATACACATAGACAACACACTACACAGACTCTACACACTACACACACATAGACAACACACTACACTACACACAACACTCTACACACAGACAACACACTACACAGATAGACAACACACTACACACACAGACACAACACACTCTACACACAGACACAACACACTACACTCTACACACAGACACAACACACTACACAACACTCTACACACTACACGCACTCAAATCTCCTCCACATCCGGACCTGGCCGGACCCCCTCTCGACCCCCCGCCCCGCCGCTCCATGCCACGGCACTGTCCACCGTGAACCCCGTCGAGATCCCCTCGTTGACCTCTACGCCTCGAGGGTCGTCGTGCTGGAGGGGACCAGCGAGGGGGTATCGGGGGTCAACTTGCGGAACCACCACCACCATCACCACCCCCCTCCTCCCTCGACTGTAGAGAGACCGGTAACCACACAACATTCTGGGGGACCACGCCAGACCCCAATGGGTGGCCCAGGTTCAGAGTCGAACCTCGGTAGGGGGGCTTGGGGGTAAGGGGCTAAGGGGGTAGGGGTACCCCCTTCAGGGCTACCCCCTGGGGGTGTCCCCTTAGACGTGGCCCGGGCGGTGCGGCCCCCGGAACGAGTCGAGCCCGGCAGGCCCACGGTCCGCGAGCCGGCGCGGCCTTCCACGGCGCAGGGTTGTGGTGGTTGTTGTTGTGGCTGTGGTTGTTGTGGTGGTGGTGGTGGTTGTGGTGGTGGTCTGGGAAGGAGGGGAGGCGGACACTCACTGCGAGCAGCAGTAGAGGTGCGAGAGTCCGCTCCGTGTGTGCCGAGGCCGCGTCCATTGCGAGGTGTAGAGGGGAGGAGACTGCAGGAGGAGCCCGGGGGGAGGAGGGAGGGGGGAGGATGGAGGCCTCCTTCTTAGCTCCACGCAAGCGGTCGCCAGGTGTCGCTCGACTACACCAGGGGCTCTCACGCTACACCCCCCCCTCCTACCCCCCCTCCTACTCACCCCCCCTCCTACCCCCTCCCTCCTACCCGCCCCCCCCTCCTACTCACCCCCTCCCCCCTCCTACTCACCCCCCCTCCTACTCACCCCCCTCCTACTCACCCCCCCCTCCTCACCCCCCCCTCCTCACCCCCCCTCCTACTCACCCCCCCTCCTGCCCCCCCCTCCTGCCCCCCTCCTGCCCACCCCCCCTCCTAACTCCCCTCCTGCCCCCCCTCCTGCCCCCCTCCTGCCCCCCCCTCCTACCCCCCCTCCTACCCCCCCTCCTACCCCCCCCTCCTGCCCACCCCCCCTCCTACCCCCCCTCCTGCCCACCTCCCCTCCTACCCCCCCTCCTGCCCCCCCCCTCCTACCCACGATTTTGGCGATTTTTTACCCCCCCCCCCTCGTCACACGGCGTCACAAAAAGTCAGACCCCCCCCTCAAATATGACGTCACAAAGCTCTGCCCCCCCCCCACAAAAAAATAAAACACGCTTCAAATCACTTTAAACTATTGTCATTGTAGTGCGTATTTAATGTGGCGCTGCACTCTGATGTTGTAGGAAAAAACATTTATTAAAAAGTCTATTTAATTAAGTAGAACGTGTTGTCTATATTTATTTAAAGTTGCGCATTTTTATGTGACGTCACATTTCTCACCCCCCCCCCTCGTCACACATCGTCACAAATGTCTGACCCCCCCCCCCTCTCCTAGATGCGTGACGTCATTTATGGACGGCCCCCTTCCACCGGCGGTGACGTGAGCGAGCACTTTGCAGGGCTGCGCCTCTACCTTTCACACGTACCCGTATGTTCACCAGGTGACGTTTCGTGCAATGACCCTCTCCACGGGACCCCGCGTTGTGCGTTGCGGTTTCTCCGCGCTCGCCGTGCGGGTTTTGCCGAGACCCTAGACAGGTTTGAAGTGGAGTCCCGTTAAATTTCGATTTAAAGCTTTCGTGACTGCAGGGATTCATCTTCTTGGTTCTTTCGGTAAAGTCACGTAGAATGGAAATAATAAAATAATATAAATAGAACATAATAGAATAATTCTCACGACGTTTCGGCCACAACGCAAGCAGCCGTCCTCAGGTGAAGAACAGGTCTGTCGAGAAGACAGAGTCCTTCAGACAGAAGGACTCTGTCTTCTCGACAGACAGAAGGACTCTGTCTTCTCGACAGACAGAAGGACTCTGTCTTCTCGACAGAAAGAAGGACTCTGTCTTCTCGACAGACCTGTTCTTCACCTGAGGATGGCTGCTTGCGTTGCGGCCGAAACGTCGCGAGAATGATTTTATGATGTTTTTTTTTATTATTGTATTATTTCCATTCTACGTGACTTTACCGAAAGAACCAAGAAGATGGAGTCCCGCTCTCAGGCCGGAGGGGTCACGGGAGTGGACACATCTCTCGAACTTTCGAGGGGTACCGAGCAAAACGTCACGGGGGCGCGGCCACAGACAACAACAGCGGGGCCACGTTGCGGGGTGCACGGTCACCATCATCAGCATCATCATCAGCAGCAGCAGCAGTACCATCAGAATCATCAGCAGCACCTCCATCCAACACCAGCACCTATGAGCATCGACACGCCTCACGAGGTGATGACGTGACGAGCACCAGGCCGTCTTTGTCTTCCCTAGTAGAAATGTTTACACACCGTTCCAGGAACTTGTTTGAAGCTGCGTGGACTAACACGTCGCCCTTGTATAAACTAGGGTTGTCACCCTGTAACCAATAAACCGGTAACCGTTTTGAAATCGATTTGCCGGTTACGGTTTCCAGCGGAAGTTTAAGAGCAATGACTGCGCTGATAAAAAAACAAAACCCCATTAGTTTTCACTAACATATGTCACTCATGTATCAAATGATAGTGGTCACCCTGTAACCAGTAAACCGGTAACCGTTTTAAAAATCTATCGCCTGTTACGGTTTCCAGCGGACGCTTAAGAGCAATGAGTGCGCTGATTTAAACAAGCGAAACCCCATTTTCTTGGTTCTTTCGGTAAAGTCACGTAGAAGGGAAATAATAAAATAATAAAAATAAAACATAATAAAATAATTCTCACGACGTTTCGGCCACAACGCAAGCAGCCGTCCTCAGGTGAAGACCAAGTCTGTCGGGGAGACAGCGTCTGAATGAAACACCACCCCGACAGACCTGGTCTTCACCTGAGGACGGCTGCTTGTGTTGTAGCCGAAACGTCGTGAGAATGATTTTATTATGTTTTATTTTTATTATTTCCCTTCTACGTGACTTTACCGAAAGAACCAAGAAAATGAATCCCTGCAGTCACGAAAGCTTTAAATCGAAACGAAACCCCATTGTTTTTAACTGCCGCGCCGGGCCATGGAATCGAACTGGTGTTACCTCTGGGTGGCATGTGTGGTGCGCTCACCGCTACACCACCACTGGGAAACCAGGAGCCAGATGTTTGTTTTCTCTCCATGCGGTGACCCGGTCATGGAACAAAAATAATAATAAAATATAGAGAGAGAGTCGATTTTGACAACCCGAGTGTAATACGGAGAGACGTTACCGATCGTAAACGCGACCCGTAACACAGAACGGCGGTGCTCGCTGATTCTGGAAGAGAGAACGACTCGGACGAGCGGGAACGCAGCAGCAGCAACAATTGCCCAAGCTCTGCGATCCTCTATACATTGAGGTGGTATCGGCCAAAAAATTAGTGTTTGCATGCGGGAATGAAACCGGAGCACCCGGAGAAAACTCAACGTGCGCGACGGTGCAACGCTCAATCCCGTGCGGACGGAACACGTGGGAGCCCACGTGTTTTGACTGTTACCGCCTTCACCTGTCAGGGCACAAGGTACGGGCTCCTCCTCCTCGACGCACAGCGGGAAGGGAGTCTCGCAACATCCTCGTCATCATCATCATCTGTTTGTGTCTGTCTCTGTGTGTGTGTCTGTGTCTGTGTGTGTCTGTGTGTGTGTCTGTGTGTGAACCACCAACCCTCGCTGCTGCCCGCACTGCGCCGCATTATAAGCCACGTGCAGCGAAGCCACCGCCACTGACGCCGCTGACGCCGCCGGGCAAAGACAATGACCACGCCTTGATGTTTAGTGGTCTGCCAAGACGTGGGGGGTAGGGGGGCAAAGGGGATAGAGGTGGAAGGTGGGGGGGGGTAAATTGGGAGGGTGGGGGGATGGGGGGGGGCAAAGGGGATAGAGTGGAAGGAGGGGGGGTAAATGGGGAGGGTGGGGGATGGGGGGGCAAAGGGGGTAGGGGTGGAAGGAGGTGGGGGGGGATGGAGAGGGTGGGGGGATAGGGGGGGGGGCCGTGTTTGGACTCCAGAATTTGTGTCCCTCGAGTCGACCCATCAGGGTGCTGACTGATGCCGCTCGTGGCAGCGAGCCTCTCCAGAAAGCTCCGCGCGAACCCAACAACAACAACATCAACAACAACAACATCAACAACATCAACAACATCAACAACAACATCAACAACATCAACATCAACAACAACATCAACAACATCAACAACAACAACAACAACATCAACAACAACATCAATAACAACATCAACAACAACATCAACAACAAAAACATCAACAACCACATCAACAACAACATCAACAACAACATCAACAACACCATCAACAACATCAACAACAACATCAACAACAACATCAAAAACATCAACAACAACCACAGAAGTTCCCCTCTCGCGTGTTTTACTCGCTGCGGGGACGCGGCGGCCCCGTCCATCACACGACCGACCGCGATCTGAGTTCGAGTCCCGACCGAGGCCCAACATCGACACGATCACTCACCACGCCGGCAGATCGATCACTCACCACGCCCGCCGGAAGATCGATCGCGATTGTGGGCGGCGACCCATCGGATCGATTGCAAGCGGGGTGCGTTGACGAGAGCTACACCACGGGCGCATGCTGCTGTTGTTGCTGTTGTTGTCTATTTATTTATTACCAAACATTTACTGAGCGGGTCACTCTCGAGGGCGCAGTGAATCCGACGGTGTGATGTGCATAGCCCGCGGGGAGATTATCCGCGTTTGGTGGCAATTTGCGCCGCCTTTACGGGCGCATTATCGGGGCTCGAGCGAGCGGCTCGCCATCGGGAAAGGTTGAGAGGTCAAATCCCGGTTTGGGGTTCAATCGGCTCAGCCCATCATCTCTTGATCCTCGGGGTCGATAAAATAAGTATTGCTTCGTGGGGAAGAGGAACGGTGATATTAATTATGATAACAATCTCAGCTTTCAGCGTGCTGCCGCTACACCGTGTCCGCTCATCGCCCTCGTATAGACAGATAGAGAAGAATGTTTGGCCAGAGAGAGCACGACTCAGAGAGAGAGAGAGAGGACGACTCAGAGAGAGAGAGAGAAAGGACGACTCATAAAGAGAGAGAGAAAAAGGACGACGCAGAGAGAGAGAACGATTCAGACAGAGAGGACCACTCAGAGAGAGAGAGAACGACTCAGAGAGAGAGAGAGAGGGGACGACTCAGAGAGAGAGAGAAAGGACGACTCATAAAGAGAGAGAGAGAAAAAGGACGACGCAGAGAGAGAGAACGATTCAGACAGAGAGGACCACTCAGAGAGAGAAAGAACGACTCAGAGAGAGAGAGGACGACTCAGAGAGAGAGGACGACTCAGAGAGAGAGAGGACGACTCAGAGAGAGAGGACGACTGAGAGAGAACGACTCAGAGAGAGAGAGAACGACTCAGAGAGAGAGAGGACGACTGAGAGAGAACGACTCAGAGAGAGAGAGAACGACTCAGAGAGAGAGAGGACGACTGAGAGAGAACGACTCAGAGAGAGAGAGGACGACTCAGAGAGAGAGGACGACTCAGAGAGAGAGAGAACGACTCAGAGAGAACGACTCAGAGAGAGAGGACGACTCAGTGGCGCCAGGAGGAGGAGCCACAGGTGAGCGGGGAGGC